TACCTGGCACAGCCACGCTGGAGATGGCCTCGGGCTGACTCAGCGTGTCCACCTTGACGTGCTGGAAGCCCTTGCAGGTGGCACTCTGAAGGTGCCTGTGTCCAGGCAGGAGACAGTGGGTGACAGTGTCCCCCTAAATCACTATCCCAGCCCCCTGCCACCCCACTGGCTCTGGCAGGGGCCAGGTGACAGCAGCCCCTTCGCCCTCCCCTTGGGCAGAGCACCTTGCCATGGCTTAGGACAGTGAGACCTTCCACCCCCTATGTCCAAAGGCATCCCCAGGTGGGACATGCACATAGACATCCGAAGCCCTTCATACCCTTTTCAGTGACAGCCCTAGGACAGACAGGCAGACATATCCACACCCCTGCCGTCAGACAGGGGACAGAGCTTGGGGTGCAGCAGCTCCAACACCCCTCACACCCAAGGACCCCATACAAATGCGAGCTTTTTTACCCCTTCCCTACCTCTTCCAGTCCTCCTCAGTCTCCCAGAACTCATAGATGATGAAGGTGACCCCATCGGGCAGCTTCACCGCAGTGACACTGGCAGGAGTGAGGAGAGGGGTGAGCCCTGAACCGTGGGTCATCCCTCCCCCTCAGCCTCTGCAGGCCCCGAGGAGTGACCCCAGCCCCAGCAGCCCAAGTGGAGGGAACTCCCCCTTCAGAACACCCCATCCCCCACAAAAGGGTTTTAGTGCCTGAGCATCACTTCACCCCAAATCCTGGCTGCTTTGCCTCAGCTCTTCATTTGGTGGGGTGCCCCTTGCTGTGAGGGTAGCTGGGCACCCCCTGTTCCCACACCCCAAGCCCCTTGTCCCTCATGCACATCTGCTGGTGGTACCCACTGGAAGCAGTCCCGCTCCCCGGCCACGCTCTTCAGGTACTGCTTCAGGGAGCTGCAGAACTCGCCCAGGTGCTTGTGCGACACCGTCATCTCATCCCGCACCAGGAGGAGGTACTGCCGGGCCCCCAAAACACAGCAGCATAAGAGAACCCAAAAACATGGTGACCCCCCCACCCCAAAGGCAATGCCACTCTGCAGGGACATGCCAGCACCCCGGCATGCTCTCACCGTGCAAGCTGTGCTCTCGCTGTCTGGCAGCCGCTGGTGCAGGTCAAACCAGAGGGTCTGGGGAAGGGGAAAAAGCAGTGGTAGCGTGGGCTGAGGTTCTGTGTCTCTCCCAGGCTGGTGGTTTTCTGTCCCCAGTGCTTGGAATGATGGACTGTGCCCCCTTCTCTGCAGGGAGGGCTCTGCCCATTCCAACAGGACCCTCTGCAAAAGCTCCCTGTGCAGCCAGCATCCTCATCCCTATGTCTTCACACCAGCCCCAAAATGGCCACCGTATTTCAGTCCCTGATTGTCCCTGGACAGGGCAACTACCCCTCCTCAGTGCCCACTTGTGCCTTCCCAGCCCCTGGCACACTCTATTTCCTCTAGCAACCATGACTGACATTTTTCTGCCCTCAACCTTCACAGCACCTCTCTGCCCCATGTACACCACCACCCTTTCCCTGTCTCCTTATGTCCTGAAAGTGCAAACCAGGAGGATTTTGGAAACATCTCTTCTGCTAACATTTTCTCCTTCAGTCCCTAGATGGAGCAGGACTGCCTCTGTAAGAGACGTTACCTTCTCCCTTATGCTTTTTTCTTGTTTAAATAAACTCATAGTTAATCATTCCACATTCTAATAGCTGCCATGAACTCATCAGACATAGCCCACCCACCCACCCACCCAGTTCCCACCACCATGCACACCATGGGATAGGGATGGGTACAGCCACTTCTTGGTCATCTCAGTCCCAACCAGTACAGGGAGGTGTGGGGCCCCAGGGACAGCCCCATGTGTGGAAACACTGGCCCTTACCTTGTCCTCCAGCCTGCCGATCAGCTCGGCCAGCCTGTTGATCTGCCCCTCCAGCCCCTCCACCTTGGTGTCAGGAGAACCTGTGTGGAGCCAGGAGGCAGTGATGGAGTGAGAGGCACCCATGGGCACCCAAGAGCCTTGCTGCCCTCCAGGGAAATCCAGCATCACCTCCATGATGCTGCTGGGACTGCAGCTCCCTTCCCTAAGCACCCCAAGCCACTCCAGGCTGTGAGTGCAGCTAGAAGCAGCCACTACTTACCACTCTGGAAGGTGTTCCCCTGCTCCCTGGGGACCATCCAGCTGGTGGGAGAGTAGCTGGGCACAGGGCTGTCATACCAGGTCTCCATCAGACTGTGGCCCATCTTGCTGGGGTAGTGCCTGCAACCAGAGAGCGCACAGGCCATCAGGGATGGCAGAGCTGGGCACGTACAGTGCAGTGTAAGCCAGTCTCAGGGAGCTGACATTGGAGCATCTTCTTTGGCACCTCTGCCACCAACTCCAGACCCCTTGGAGAGCAGCAGTGCTCAGGCAGCACAGGCTTTCCTTCAGTGCCATCATTCAGCATTAGAAGCAGCATCAGCAGGCTGCTCCCAGCAGCCATCACTTTTCTTTCCTCCTTAGAAAACACTGGAGCTGCCCATCTCTTGCAGCCTGCAGTATATTTTATATCCTGCAGGGATATTTTCTTCTCTAGACAGACACCACAACATTGGGGCATCAGTAGCTGTGCCCAGACAGCTGGCTGCACCTTAGTGGGGCTGGGTTTGCAGTTGGCTTTGGCTACTAGCACATGGGAAAAGTTGTTATCATGGCTGCTTGCTATGCACCCCACCAGCAGGCTCTAGTTCTCCTGGAAAGTGGAGACATATCCACTGTAGCATCTCCTCCACCTTGCTGCTGCTGCTTCTTCTGCAGCTACAAAGCCCATTTGGCCTGGCTTGTCCTGCATCACCTCTTGGAGAAAAGCAGCGTATCTGTGTGTGTACATACACACACATGCCCATGCATGCACATACCCCTGAAACATCAATGACCATCCAGTGGTCCCCCCAGGCCCTTGTTCATTTGCAAGCCGGAGAGGATGCTAAGACCTGCCATCCCCACAAGGGTTTGTAGCTGCGACCCATGTGTGGCAAGATGGGAATGGGATTTGAGTAGGATGACCCTCTCTTTCCTTCCTCCTCCACTGATGGGAAGCCTGAGACGCAGAGGCTGAACTTCTCAAAGGGTTTCCAGTGTTTCCTTCCAGCAAGAGCAGCTCTGTGCCAGCTGCCTGTTGATGGAGGTGCCTGGGAGCCTGACGCCTCTTGGCATCTCTTGCAAGCCACGCAGCTCACGCTGGAGACAACATGCTGAGTGCCAGGAGCCAATATGCACAACACTGGCTAGCACCTCCTGTCCCTCTCCAAGCACCCGGCTCCCTCTGGAGCGCAGCAGCCGGGTGTCCTCTCTACCTTCCGTGTCTACCCCGAGCAATTTCAGCTGGCTCCTTTAGAGCAAGGTCTGGGCTGCTGTTGTCCCCCAAAATCAGCTGATGCAGACTTGACCATGCACATGGGAACATGATGAGCAGATCTGGTCCTGAAGAACATTCCCAAGATAGGGAAGCAAGAACAGCGATAAAGATGGCAGGAACATTCCTGTTGCTACAGGCTGTGTGATAATCCCTCTGTCTGCGCTGAATAATTCCCCGTCAATAGGCAGGAAATTAGGCAGTAACAGACAGAGATTTCTTTTTAATCCCATTTAATGAGGTGTCTCAGGCTTGGACGTCTGCCTTTGCACTCCATTTTACAGCCCTTTCTTTTGGTGCTTTTTAGGCCACCTCTTTGTCTTCATGTGGATGCATAAGATCATCTTTTGTGAGTTTGGTTGGGGTTTTTTTTGGCTATTGTCACCATGAGAAAACAGCTACAATACTCCTCATTACAAACTGGGCCCACACATCAGCAAATAACAGCCAGCAAAGTCTTTCATGGGCTCTAATTGCTGCGTCTGATATTGGGCTTGTTTCCTCCTCCTTGTTTCCCAGGAGCTTTTACTTTTTCTTGTACAATGTTCGCCACAGTTTCCTTCCAAAATGGGGAGAAGAAAGTGATGTGTGGTGATGAAAACCAGAGCATCCCTGCTAAGAAAACTAGTGAGATGT